AATTTAGGAATGAAACAATTTTTCTTATTTTGGAAATACATTTCTGCTCTAATTTGAATCGGTATTTTTCAAATAACATAATAATATATCTTGAGATAAATATTTCAAATATTCTCATAAAGATAGTATTTTAAAAAAACTGAAGTTTACTGCCAGTAATTTATTTTCCATGACAACATTAAGAAGATTTCTTCTTCATCTGAATATTAATATCTATTAGGGTAGGAACAGAATTTGCAAGTAAAATCCTTGCTATTGGAATCAAATACAAAAGTACGTTGAAAAAAATGCTTGCTGCATGCATTTCACTCGCAAATTCTGTTTCCACCCTTAGTTATCTCTGCTTTTCCACGAAGGGCTTTAAACTCGATAAAATTCATTATAGTTATAATACCAAATGTAAAAAATTGAATAATCTCACCTATTCATGTGTGCATGCACATCAAGGGGGAAACTAATACAGCATCGTAATTCATTATTATGCGATTTCCCTCATCAAATTTGATGGTGATTCGGTTCGAAAATAGCTACAACAGGATCATTTGGCATTTCGAAGGAATGCATATTAAATATTCTCACTCAAAAACACATAGGACTAGAAGTGAATCCTGTACATGACCAATGCATCTTTTAAAAGTGTTTTTTTTTTAATTTCGAAGCTAATTGCCATTTAACTTGGAAAATTCGGAATTGATAAGAATTATTTAAAATTGCAAATAATTATTCGGAATTTGTGTTATACTAGATTGCGTTATAATTAACCAGCTACTTCGGCGATAGGATATTCAAATCAAGTGATATTCAGATTTACAAATTTAGTTTCATCAGTCAAAGAAAATTCACATTCATGTTTCACTTTGTTGTGCCTCTTATTCGATAATATGATATAAACGTTTGGAAATTAATAAGCACCATATTAACAATTGGATCACACTATTTATGTACGGTGTATATATTGAAATTTAAGTATTATTTTTATAACGTTGTCTAGAGGGAATTAAATTATTCATGTTAATCAGCTAAGGATACAAATGATAACGAAAAACATGGGAAAAAAATTTCTTCAAACTTCTGAAAATTTAATTTGAAAATCAAAACTGATATGTGAATCTGTTATTTAAGCCGCAAGAATTCTAATGGCATATGCATATACAAAACCAAAAATTATAAAATCAAGGAAATAAAAAAAGGAGGACAGATAGACAGAAAGACGAACATTCAGTTTTATATATGAACCGTTGCGACAAAAAAATTCCCTCCGAATATTTGAGAATTGAATCGAAGCATGGCATTTGCCTACGAACAAAGAGCAACAACGCAAGTTTTTGAACCAAAGCGACACAAATCAAATGTGAGAAACAAAGTGCAACATAAAAAATCATGTTGCAGTTTAAAGCCGAGACTTGCTTAGTGGCACTTTGTTTCTCAAATTGGTGTTGTTTCTCCTTGAATTTAATTTCCGGCATGATGCAGTCTGTTTCAAAATTATGATAAGTTGATAACGAGTGCGAATTCCTATGTGCCGATAGCACCAATGGATTGGGCACATTGAATACTGTATGAGAATCGAAAAAAAAATTAACTTTTTTTTCGATTTTTGCCTGTGTTGCCCCCAACTTCCGACATGTTGAGATAATCTTCTAAACAAAATATGCGACGAAAGATTTCGTCTACACAGTCATCGATCAGGACATTCAGAAGATGTTTCGGTGAATCATGTGCGGGTGAGTCCATGTTTCCTCTGTGAAAATGGGTATATCTATAGGTTCGTGTTCTTGGTAGTGCA